CTGTCTTCATGCACCCCAGCGCCCATTCCCTCGACGTGCAACACTCTAGGACCAAACCCTGGCCCATCCTTCAGATCTCCAGGCAAATGCTACATCCCATGGACAGCTCCCTTATAAAGGAACTCGGTGCTCAACTCTGCATACTCTAATTTATACACTTTTCTATTTTAAGTACTGGTTTCGATGACTCTCTCTCCCCATGAGACTCCGAGCTGCCTAAAGGAGAGACCACATCTTTCCATTTTTTATTTCCTCCAACCCAATTTTGGTGCCTGGCACAAGGTGCCTGGTTCTCGATGAATATTTGATGTCTGCATAAGAAAGTAAATAACATACTCATATAAGGTGATTCTACCAATTTCCAAGACAAAGCACCAAAGAATATTCTTTTGGTCATTCATAATATCTAGAGATGGAAAGCACCAAGCCAATAAGTTCACAAAACACCGGCTCACTTACATACGATTGTGTAGAGGTCGGAGTGAGCCAGACAACAAGGAAAAGGGAAGGGAATGTGGGACACCTGAGAACAGGACACAATGTGATGTGTGCGGAGATCAGAGCAGAGCTAAGCACTGGAATCAGGGCTGAGGCAGGCTGCTGGGAGCTGAGGGCAGGAGGCGGTGGGCTACAGCGCACTGAGCAGGGTGCGCTCAACGTAGCTTAGTGTCAGACCAGTCACTCTGGCTGTGGTGTCCTTGACTACCTGCAAGGAGGGTCAGTCAGTCTGACAGCATGGGGACCTGTGGGACGTTGCAACAGTGATCCATGCAGATGTGACAAGAACCTTGACAAGGAGAGTAGAAACAGGCAGGAGGGACCAGACTACAGGGGTGTGGTGGACACAATATTGACAGTGCTGGGTGCAGGGCAGGGACACAAAGTACCAAGGGGGCCTTTCCTGATGGGGGCTGGGGGACCATCACTGCTCTTGTGAGGCCAAGCAGAAGGAAGCAGAGTTTCAGGGGAATGGCAATGATTTCATCTGTGTGGGTGCTGCTGTTGAGGTGGGTGTGGAGCAACCAGGTGGAGCTGTCTACTGAGAAACACAGTTCCAGAGCTCATCAGAGAGTTCCAGTGTGGAATCTCAGTGTGAACGTAAGTAGTCCACAGTGAAAAATAATAGCTGGTGCCAAAAATTTAGATAGCAGCCAAGAGAGGTGCAGAGGATGAGAGAAGCAGAGAGGTGAGGCAGGAGGTCTGAGGAATCCTGACAGAATCCCATAAAGAAGGGGACAGGGCACCTAGGGGTCCAGGTGGTGGGGCAGCTCTGTGAGCCTAGGAATATGGTTTACAACCTTGGTCCAATGCCACTGCTGCAGACAACCAGAGGGGTGAAAAGAAAGTCCAGTGAGCCCTGGCCAGTGCGGCTCAGCAGTTGGAGCGTCAGTCTGCAGACCAAAGGGTCATGGGTTTGGTTCCTGGTCACGGGCACATACCTGGGTTGTAGGTTCGATCCCCAGCCTCAGTCATGCTGTGTGTGGGAGGCAATCAATCCATGTCTCTCTCACATCGATGTTTCTCTCTCTCTCCCCCTCCCTTCCACTCTCTGGAAATCATTGGAAAAAGTGTCCTCGGATTAAGATTAACAAAAAAAGAGAAAGTCCAATGAAATCAGCTTTATCTTTCAGGACATGGCTCAAAAATTACACACATTGCAAATAGTTAAAAGCCATTGACCCAATCTTGGTCACATGGATGCATCTACATGGAAGGGAGTCTGGGAAACACAGTGTGTCACTGGGCTGGTACTCATGTGCCCAGGTAAACCTGGGAGGCTTCCAGTACAGAAGGGAAGGAAGGGGAGGCAGATACTAAGGGACACAATTAGATTTTCCGATGGTGCTAAGTACTTTGCTGACACCGATCTCACCAAGGCAAGGACAGCTTTGAGCAGGGAACATGGAAAAAGAAAAAAAGGTAATTCTGATGCCTAAAGCTTCAATAAAGGGCAGGTATGGGTGGGATGCTGGTGCAGAGAGAGCTTTGGTGAGGATGCCGTAGGTACAATATGACTAGCACAGGCTAGACCACACAGAGGGAGATTCCTGCCTCCACCGCTTCCCCAGGCAAGTTTCCCACCTGCCTCCATCCAGCTCTTACTTCCTTCGCGGGGTCGCTGAGAGGCTAATGAGGTTCAGTATTTATGATGCCAAGCAGAGGGCCCTGCAGCTGGTAAGGACTCAAACTGGTAACCATTTTGTGTTTTCTTCCCATTTTTAGAGGGCAAAAGAAGGACATGCCAAGAGATGAAAAGCTGCATAAGAAAGAAGGTGGTGGATGCCACAAAACTTGGCCTACTTTGCAATTCTGATGTCTAAGCTTAAAGGGAAACCATGCCACAGTGCCAGGTGGACGCCAGTGCCTGCTGTATGGTCTCTGGAGGCAGCTTTAAGGCAGGGAAGCGTTGAGAAGGTTCCTCCAGAGCAGCCCTGGCAGGCAGCCCGGCTCCAGCACCAGCAGCTGCTGTCTGCTCGCAGAGGCTGGCAAGGAAAGTGTCCTTTGTTCATTAGAAAGAAACAACAAAGACATGCTTTCAAAGGTCAGGCGATGCCGTATTTATAAGCAGCCTGCACCTGTTCCCCATGACCACGCTGGACCTGAAAACCACCTGGGGCTCCACCCACTCACCAAAAGAAATTAGCAGCCTCAGAATACAAGATGATATGTCTTTTCTCAGGTTTTAATCCTTTGCTGCAAATTTTTCATGCTTGTGTCTTACAAAATTCAAGGGACCTGTCCCCGAGGCTGTCCACTTAATCGTCAGGCAGAAGTTACCTGGCATGTCCAACAGAACAGATCGTCACCTGGAGAGGCTACCAGGAGTGAAACACCTGTCTCCTCTCCGTCTCCTTTCCTGTCTCTACCAACTGTGACCAGAGTCAAAGATGCAGAAAAGCAGCAGGGAGGTCTCCATGCTGCCGTGAGCTGGGCCAGTCACAGTGAGTCCAGGTGAATGATATACGGTAGAACCACACATCCCGGGGCCATGGAGAGAAAGTGAAGCTGGCAAGAAGAGAAACCTCTCCTGGTTAATTTTCAAGGTCTTAAGTGTGAACAAATCACTATTACTATTTTAATCACAAACATATTTTTTGTTAGTTTATTCAGGTGAAAATATCCAGGGAAAAATCACTAACTTCAGTTCGGGTCTAAAACTCAACGCCATTTGCACCCAGAGAGGAGAAAAAGAAGACGTGGTAAGAAAAACTACCTTGCTTCTGTGCAAAGCTTTACTCAGGGATTTCTAATCAGAAAATTGAGGCACCATTTCTTTTCCTCTATCAAAAATTCCAGCTGAGGAGAAAAAAACCATTTGAAACAAAAAGAGAGAAGAGAATCTGCTAAATACAGGCCTAATGTTTTGAAAACAAACGCACAAAAATAACCTGAGATGAGTCCGACTTAAGTAACAACAAAAGGAAAGTCAGAGAGAATGTTTGTTGTCCAAATAGACATACTGTTCCAGAAAATTGGATTTCATTTGCATGCCTGGCATCCTTCTGCCTCTGAAATGAAGTACTTGGATGCTTTGCAAGGCATCTCATAGAAGTAACCTGCACTGGTTTCATTTCCAATGTTTCATATTTATGCTCCACTGCTCACTTCCCACTGTTTACTAAACAGTTTAAGATGATTCCACACTTATTTCGGTTTTTACAACAGAGTCGGTTCACAGTGCACATTCCTCTGTAACCCAGCTGCCCATGGAAAGCAACTGACAAAGAGGATAGAGGGAGCACCAAAGAGCAACTTTTCAAATCATGCAAAGCCCATGGATTCAGCTCAGGAAGGTGGGTAAGCCCAGCTGGTCCAAAGACACTGAGCTGGGAACAAGGAAGAAAGTTATGCAGATCACTCTGCAGTTAGAAGACCGGGCTTCAGAGTCAGAGACCCCCAGGTGTAATCTCGGGCCCACTAGTTATGTGACCTCAGCAAGTTACTTAACTTGTCTGAAGCTTGGGAACCATGAAAAATACTGATGATCAAGGTCATGTGCTTGTACACACAAACGCAAATGCTTAGTGTGCTACTGGCACTCAGTGAGCTCAATAAATGGTAGCTATCATCATCACCACCATCTCAATAATCATCATCATCACCATCATCATCACCACCACCATCACACCACCCACCATCATCATCACCACCATCTCAATAATCATTATCATCACCATCATCATCATCACCACCACCATCATCATCACCATCACCACCACCATCACCACCATCACCACCACCCACCATCATCACCATCACCATCACCATCACCATCATCATCAAATGTAAGCTCCACAAGGTCAACAATTTTCAACATCATCATCAAATGTAAGCTCCACAAGGTCAATAATTTTCGTCATCATCATCAAATGTAAGCTCCACGAGGTCAACAATTTTCGTCATCATCATCAAATGTAAGCCCCATGAGGTCAATTTTTGTTTATTTGTGGTCACTGCCAAACCCAAGCACTTAATATGCACTCAATAAATATTTGATAGTTTGTTAAAATAAAAGTATAATACTTTTCAGAATCAGGATGCTTGATGTACCAAGTCCACAATTTTCTAACACCTTCTTAGAATGGAACCTCACAGCCTTGGTAAGGGGCCATATTGTCCATTTGAAGATAGCTGTCGTTTAAAAAACCCTCCATTCTGTTGTGTTTTTCACTTTTCACACAGATAGCAACCACTATAATCATTCTTAAAATGCAATCAACACATCTGCCTTGGCATCTTTTCACTGCTTTTAAAGACAGTACAGCTTTTACTTTTGATATGTCTGCGAGGTAAACAATCAAAGGCAGCCCTGATGTTTGTGCTTTACTCAAAGTTAATCCACCATGTAGCTAAATGATAAATAACTGCCTTTATTTGTAATCTTTCTCTCAAAGTATAAATGCTATGAACTTGAATAAGCCAAAGAAAAACCATGGTTGTGTGACCTGGTGTACAGGATTTTTGGCGTATTATGAATTTCCAAAAGCAGCACACATTACCTTTGCAGAATGCTCCATGGTGACCACCACCTTGGTTTTGGCACTGGACACTAGATCCATAGCACCTCCCATTCCTTTCACCATCTTCCCCTGCAAAATGGAAACAGAAAATCAGAAGTAATTCCCTATCTTTCACTTCCTTAGTATGTGGCAGAACACAATTAACTTGCAAGAATAAGCCACTGGAATAATGAGAGAGAGAAAAATCACTAACGTTCATTGCTTAGTACTTGAAGGTTTACAACCTTAATATTGTTATCATATTATTCTACGTTTAAAGGAAAAGCTCAGGATAAATACTAGGATGTCACTTTTATTAAGTGTGGCTAACATTAGCAATAAGACAATCAGCAGATAAAAAAATCTTATGTGCCTTTACAGAATTCTGGCACGCTAGTATTTTTATAATATGAGGTTAAAATCCATATGCCCCTGAAATCCATTTCTTCCATTCTAAACACATGATCATCACCCTGACTCTTCGATTACCGACCCTTTCTAAAGCACTCCCTTGTATTTTCTGCAGAATAAAATGCCATTTGGTGGTAGCCTGAGGCACTCGTGGTGTTTCCCTAGTAATGATTAATATTAAAGGTGGGTCTGTCTCTCTAAAACTTGACATTTATCTTGCTCTTAGAAAAACAAACCAAAGCAAAATGAAAAATATATTCCTGTTCAGCAAAAACGGAAACCAGGAGCAGAGCTCAGGATCCTTTCGCCACTACTATTCTACTTTTGCTCACCCGTCCATGTTGTCATTCATTAAACATTTAGCAACCACCTTCTATGTGCCACACTCTGAATAATTCCCATTGTCTATTCTGTCTCTTGGTTGCAGTTTTGGAATAAGCAAGTGTTTCCAGAGAAGGTAAAATAAATTCTCACTCAAGTATATAGAGGACAATGTCTTCTAACATTGAAACCTCCTTAAAATTTTATTTATTTTTTAATCCAAGTCTTCTTGCTGATTTGACAGTGAACACTCACAGGGGCTCTCGGCTCCATTCCCATAGTTTTGTAGCTATAAGGAGGTTCAGGAATGCTCTCCTGCCTGGTTTTAAAATGGATAAATTCCTAGAAACATACAATCTTCCAACACTGAATCAAAAAGAAACAGAAAACCTGAACAGAACAATTACAACTAATGAAACTGAAGCAATAACCAAAAAACTCCCAGCAAACACTGGATGGCTTCACAGGTGAATTTTACCAGACATTCAAAGATGAACTAACACCTACCCTTCTCAAACTATTCCAAAGTATTCACAAGGAGGAAAAAAGACTCCCAGGATCATTTTATGAAGCCAGCAGTATCCTGATTCCAAAACCAGATAAAAACACTTCAAAAAAATAAAATTACAGGCCAATATTCCCGATGAACATAGATGCTAAAATCCTCAACAAAACATTAGCAAATTGGATCCAGCACCACATTAAAAAGATTATACACTATGATCAAGTGGGGTTTATTCCTGGGATACAAGGTTGGCACAATATACGGAAATCAATTAACATGATACATCACATACACAAAATGAATGACAAAAATCAATAGAGGCAGAAAACGCTTTTAACAAAACCTAGCACCCATTTATAATAACTCTCAGAGAAGTGGACATAGAGGGAATGTATCTCAACATAATAAAGGCCATATATGACAAACCCACAGCCAACATCACACTCAGTGGGGAAGAGCTAAAAGCAAGATCAGGAACAAGACAGGGGTGCCCACCCTCACGACTCTTATTGAACACAGCACTGGAGGTCCCAGCCACAGCGACCAGACAAGAAGAAATAAAAGGCATCCGAACTGGAAAGGAGGAAGTAAAACTGTCATTACTTGCAGATGACAGGATACTCTACATAAAGAACCCTAATGATTCCACCAAAAAGCTACTGGAATTGATCAATAAATTCAGTAAAGTAGCAGGGTACAAAATACATACCGAGGAATCTGTTGCATTTTTATAGACCAATAATGAACCATTAGAAAGGGAAACTAAAATAACAATCCCATTTACAACTGCAAAACAAAACAAAACACAATCCTAGGAATAAATTTAACCACGGAGTCAAAGACCTGTACTCAAAAAATTATAAGACACTGAAGAAAGCAATTGAAGAGACAAATAAATGGGAGCATACACCGTGCTCACGGGGATTTCCAGGCTCTGGCCTATAAAATCCTCTCACGTGCATTCTCAAGTTTTTTCTGGACACTGACATCCAAGGTGACCTTGGAAAATAACTGAGCTTCCTTCAGTCTCAGTCCTTAAAAGACCACATGTAACAGAGCCCTCTTACTCAGAACCATTCAATATTGGGGGGG